GAGCCCTGAGAAACCATCAAATCTAGACATTTAATTTCACAAGGGATGAAACTGAAGTATTAGTTAAGTGACTGGCCTAATGTAACTAAGTCTGTACTCAGTATATATTTTTTGAATTATTGAATGGAAGACAGTTATTTCTGAAGAGCTTAAAGGATCTTTAACAAAGAATAGTCTGTATCAATTTTTGAGGTCAGGAGTATTCTTTGACTTTAACTGAAAGATTAGGAATTGATTTGATGACAAATTATTACAATATTACTAATATCCTGACAGGTGATCTTCCTTTAGTTGTTTGTTTTCACCCAAATGAGAAAAATCTTAGCACAGCAGCAGTATGGCCCCTGGCCTTCCAGTGGGGTCCTCCACAAGTGCCGGGCAGTTAGAAACAGGCGAAACGGGCACTTGCTCCTGGTCTAAAAGGCACCAATTCAGTGGAGAAGCTGTTGATCTCAACTGTTAGACCTCAGCCATTGTTCGCAGTCTGGCACAGAATTAATCCCTTAAGAAAAGGATGAAAAAAATGCCATTCAGCACAACATAGTTTGTCATCGCATGCATAATGCAGACTTTCCAATTAGAATGCTACAATTTGGAAACTTTCTTCACAGACTGATGAGAGAGCAATTATTTTAAAGAAGGGAAAACTCAGTCCACTGGGTTTGCCTCAAGTCACTCCTGACTCAAGCCGCAAAGACAAGAGTTTTGAAAACATATTCGTTATTGAATTTTATATCAAAACACCGGCAAGGAGAGCAATTAGTTGCTGTAAACTGAACCCCTGGTAATCAATGGTATGTAGCCAGCCAGAGCATTTATAGAAGATGTAAGCAAAATCGCATCTGCTAATCAATTTGAAAAAACCAGCACTTTACTGCTTTTAGAGAAACTCCACGATGAGAATAGGGAAGATGGAGGAGACAACATTTAATAACACAAGGCATTTCACGCGGTGCTCATTAGTTAGAGAGGTTTGTGGCAACAGCTAAACACAGACCCGATCTGCATCAATAGATCTTGGCCAGCAGCTTCCTTTCTTCAGCCCGATTTGAAAATGGCTTCTGATGTGTGGGGGAAGTCTGGATGGCTGCGTTTAAGGAGCTCATCTCAATTAAGGTCATAGGGAGTGTCTGTCCTGGGCAAGCTCGCTGTGCAAATATTCCCAGCCAGATTACAAGTCAGAAATATCTCTGTGTTGTTGTAGGTGCAAAGACATAAGAACATACTTTGCAGGCTGGGAAAGAAGTGAAGGGAGTTGGTGGGTTTTTCAGTTGTGCCTTATCAAAACAAAATTCCTCTCTATGGAAAAAAAGAGATTGAGCCAATTGTTTTCTTCAGCTGCGCTTGGGTTTTTTTTGTTTGTTTTGTTTTGTTTTGTTTCAGTCAAATCAAGAAAGGGATTTTCATTCCTGGCTAAGCCTAAATTCCAAGCAAATATGCATCCTGGCACATAAATTAGAAGATCTTTTTAAAACTCTGCAGCGTAGGTGAGCCTGAGCCTTAGGCTTGATGACCCGAGATCCATCAGTGTCCTTTTTGCACTCAGGAGTCACTGTGACCCCACATTTCCAGCCCCCAGGGACTCTTAATAGAGGAATACAGAGGAGATGTCTCAGCTAGTATATGCACTTGGCTGCTGTTCAGAAAAAGGAATTTAGGCCAGGAGAAATTATTGAGGTAAAGATCGATAGACTAAGCTAATAAAAATTAATATCCTCAACATGCAAACTATGATAGGCAGTGGATTAATATCCTTTAAATAGAGAGGACATTTTGTAAGTCATTAACAAAAGGATAAATGTAAGTAGAAAATGGGTAAAAATGGCCAAGTTCAATGGTAAGTAAAAAACTGCAGATTAATAAGATATATTTCATCTATCAAATTGGTAGTATTTTTAAACAATACACCATATTGTTGAAGATGCACAGAAACTGGTATTTGTTATACACTGCTTGTAGTATGAGTATAAATTGATACAGATTTTTGTTTAGGGTTGTAGTGAAAAGAGGTATACAGCTATTTTGTGATACATATCAAAGCCTCATGATGTTTATATACCTTGCTCCAGGAGTTTCACTTATAGAAACTTTCAAAGGCAATAATCATAAGATTTAGCTAAGAATGTTCATCGTAGATTTTTTTTGTAACAGTCAAATGTTATCAACTACTTAAATGTCCAATAATAAGAGACTGATTAAATAAATTACAAGATATCCATACAGTGAAATACTATGAAGTCAGTAATACGATGTAGAAGAATATTGATGATACAAAAAGATATTCATAATAGACCATTAAGCAAACAAAGCAAGTTACAAACAGTATGCACTATGTGTATGTGTTTTAAAAATTACTGGAATTGCGGATGGTCTTCATTTTAAAATAATAATTTGCCTTGAAACAAATTAGAGGACTTTATAGAATAAGCTACATATAGAGCATGCTATATACAACTCTGAAAATTCTTCTAATATTCTGTCACTCTAAGAATTTCCCCTAGAACACTTATGATACTCATAATTGGTCTTCCATTTTTAACTTCTCCATATGCCATATCCTCAAGGCAGTCATTTTCCATGAAATATTTTGAGATCTGGTTAGGTTCTACCCCAAAAAGGATGGATTGTTTTTATTTGGATATTCTGTAGAAACACTAACTCATGATTATCTAGAAGGATAGCAGTTACAATAAACCTGGCTTTCCATAAATAATTCAAAATCCCATTGGAGAAAGTATCCTCAACACTGTCTTCCAATAAACCTGTTACTAGAGCTGTTAAATGAAGAGAATGAGGAATTAATTTGAAGCTTTTCTCTGGTTTTAATCTACTGTCACATAATTATAAGTAATATCAGCCCACAACATGTGTAGAACATACACCATGAACAGAGCTCACATATTGGAAGTAGAATTTTTAAAAAGAGAAGGATCAAAAGTCTTTCTAAAAGGTTTATAATCAAAATGAGAGCCAAACATAGAAATAAAAAATACACTTTGAAATTACCCAAAATAAATATAAATTATTAATAGCATGGGCTAACTGCATAAAAGTACTGAGAGATTAGAATAATATTTGTGGAGATGACTAATGATGGAAATGATTCACTTTCTTATCAGGCAAATTTGTGTAACCTAAAAGCAGAATTTTTGGACACTTAAGAACAGTAGTGGAATGTGTTCTGATTCATTTAGAGTACTTTGAGAGATTAAATACTCAGGTGAATTAAAGGAAATCAGTAGGTGTCATCTGTTTAAGCTTTCCCAAACCTTTTAACAGTTTTCTCTGTTTAAAATATGAGTTCCAAAGTATTAGGTAGTGTGGGTTTAGTCATTGATAGCAAACAGAATTGCAATTGAAAACAAGGAACAGAGAGAGTAAGGGGAAAGGGAAAGGCAATCCTAATCCTCAGTAATAGCTTTATAGGTAACACTAAACTGAACTTGTGGGAAGGATTTTCATTGATTATAATTGCAAGATTAAAGAAAAATAATACAACTATTTTTATAGAGAATAGGTTACAGATTGTAAATTATGACCCAGATACATCAGCTGGGAGTAAAGGAAACATTTGGCAGCAGGATTTTAGAAATGAGCTTTGGGTCAGGATGCCAGGTTGGAACCCTGTACCTACCACTCACTGTGTGAGTTTAAATAAGTTACTTAACAGCTTTAAGCCCTGCTTTCACCATCTATAATTTGGTAAGCATAATAGCGCTTGCTAACAAATATTTAGAAAGATTTAATAAAATAAATTGTATACAGCATTTAACACAGGGCCTGATGCACAGTTTGCGTTAAAGAAATGTTGGCTGTCATGATCACTATTATTGCTGTCATTACAAGGAACGTATTTGTTCAGCAAACACTGAGTGTAAAGTTCTGTGTGTGACATTATGTTGATCACTGAGTATAGAAAAATCAGTGAGACATAGGCACTGCCTTCAAGGAGCTCACTGTCTATTCTAGCAGGTTGAGGAAGCAAACACACATGACCAACTAGAAAACAATAAGATATATCGTGTACGGGAAGGACTTTTAAGTCTGAAATCATAGAAAGCAGTGATCCTGTGGCACTGTCAGAAGCAAAGTACTGACCCTGTATTGCAATGCTCAGATTCTTTTTTTTAAATTCTTATATTTTAAATTGAGGAATAACACAGTGCACAAATCTTTTATATATAGCTCAATGAATACTTACATGCAGATATACCTGTGTCACTACCACTCAGATCAAAACTAGCACATTTCCAGCATTCGAGAAGATTCCCTTATTCCCTTTCCCAATTGATATCTACCCCAGAGGTAACCACTGTTCTGATTCCTGTCACTAACAGGTAAATTCTATCTACTCTGAGCTTCATGTAAAGGGAGTCATACAGTTAATGCTCAGCTTCTTATCTGCACAGAAAAGGGCATAAGAAGAACAGAACCAAGATAATCAGTTTCTAAAAAATGAGTAAGAAAGTTTTACTAATGAATATATGTTTGCTTGTATCTCTAAATCAGATAATCTTACCGAAACTATGCAAAAATTCTGGTGAGAATGAGATGGAGCCTAAAACATGATAATAAAAGTCATGGGGTTATCACCAAGTAGAAAATACAATTAGAAAAATCAGTTAGAAAGCACAGATTCCCCCATGAGCAGTGGTCAGCCCAGCCAGCCTGGAGAGATCTGAAAGAAGCCGGAAGGATGACTTAAGGACGTCTTCTCCCTGTAAGCCGATCTAAAGAATTTTGCCACTAGGGGGACAGGCTGCTGGGGATTGGGTGACTTGTAAAATAAACTCCTGAAGAGACAAGCCTCTCACCGCAGACCGACTCCACCTCTTCTCTTCATACTTTTGTTGGGATTCATTTTCTTTTTCTAGTCCTGGAAGTGTGGTAGGACAAAGGATACAGGTGGGAGGGAGAGAATGGAGAGATTCCCTGGTGCCTGTAGCCTAAGGAAACAGCCAGTTAGAACATTTACAATCTTTGTCTTTCCCTTTGTTCAGGTTACTACTTTGGGACTGTGATGATCGAAGCTATAGCTACTACGTGGAGGTTTCTACCAACCAGCAACAGTGGACAATGGTTGCCGACAGAACTAAAGTCTCCTGCAAGTAAGTTGCATCCATTCAGGAATTTATTCCATTTGGAATCAGGTTCCAGAGAAGATTCACAGAATCACCAATTTTTTTTTTTTTTTTCTTTTTGAGACAGAGTCTTGCTCTGTCGCCCAGGCTGGAGTGTAGTGGCATGATCACAGCTCACTGCAGCCTTGAATTCCTGGGCTCAAGTGATCCTACTGCCTCAGCCTCCTTATGAGCTAGGACTACAGCAGGCACACTCCACCATACCCAGCTTGTTTTTTAAAAAAATATTTTAGTAATGGGGTCTTGCTATTTTGCCCAGGCTAGTCTTGAACTCTTGGCATCAAACAATCCTCTCACCTTGGCTTCCCCAAGTGCTGAGATTCCAGGTGTGGGTCACCATGCCCACCCTGAATTATGTTCTTCTTTGGAGGTTGAAAACATATTTTAGTGATCCTTTACTTTAGTTTTAACTATTAAGTACTTGTATGAGAATTTGCTTGATGTGACCAAACAAGGTTTCTCTATCTTGTGGTATGAACTTTACTCACACTTCTGAAAATGACATGTGTACCTAAATAGGGAAAAGAAAGGTATTTTCCTTATGCAATCCTTTCTCAGGTCCTCCTCCCACATCCCACACTATCCCGTTAGGATTTTGTTCGTCCTTAGAGAATTTTGCTGAAGTGATACGCACGTTAGTAGTTATTCTGGAGTTTTATTCTATACCCCACACTTATATTATTCCTAGGGATAGCTTTAACTATCCCCTCATCTCAGTGTTAGCTGTGCTGTTACACAAAATAAGGAAAGCCTTGTATCTTAGGCTCTCCACAGGCAAACAGAGGCATGTAATGCATACGGCATTGAGGCTCTGTTTGAGCTTGCCCGGTTGCAGGAGAAGCTAGGAGGAAGGATTCTGTGATTCTGACCAGCTGGCATCATGGTGTGTGGTAAGAGCTCAGTGCCTTTTTGTGTAGAGCCAGAATCTCTGAGAGGCAAGGTAGAGCAAAAGGCTATTTCTTTTTTCTTTTTTAAATCGAGATCTAATTAACATAAAATTAGATAGAATTCACCCTTGTAAAGTGTACAATTCAATGGTTTTTGGTATATTCACAGAGTTGTGCAACCGTCACTACTATCTAACATTTCAGGACATTTTCCTCACCCCAAAAAGAAACCTCTTCCTCATTAGCAGTCACTCCCCATTTCCCTTCAGCTCCCCCAACTCCAGCATCCAATTTCTGTCTTTATGGATTTGCATTTTCTAGACATTTCATATAAATAGGATCGTATAGTATGTGAGCTTTTTTTCTGGCTTTTTTCACTTAGCATAATATTTTCAAGGTTCAGCCGTGTTATAGCATATGTGGGAATTTCATTTCTTTTCATGGCTGAATAATATTCCATTGCATGCGTATATCACATTTTGCTTATCCATTCATCTGTCAGTAAGCATTTGAATTGTTTCCTCTTCTTGGCTATTATAAACAGCGCTGCTTTGAACATTCCTATACAAGTTTTTGTGTGGACATATATTTTCAATTCCTAAGAGTAGAATGGCCAGGTCATCTGATAATTCTGTGTTTAACTTTTTGAGGAACTGCCAAACTTTTATAGAGCAGCTGCACCATTTTGCATTCCCACCAGCTATGTATGAGGGTTCTAGTTTCTCCCATTCTCACTACCACTTGTTGTTGTCCATCTTTTTGATCATAGCCATCCTAGTGAGAGTGAAGTGGCATCTTAGGGTGGTTTTGATTTGCATTGCCCTGATGGCTAGTGGTGTTGAGCATCTTTCCATGTGCTTATTTGACCAAATTTTTTAATAGCATTAATGATGCCTTGTTTGATGCAATGTCTGATACCATCACCACTATTATTATAGTAATTATCAGATAGCATGTTTATATTGGTTAGGTTACCACTTGCTACTATAACAAATAAGCTTCAGGATTTCAGTGGCTTTGCACAATAGTTTATTTCTCAGTCATGTGACACTGTGAGTGTTCCTGGTTGTTTAGTGGCTCTTCCCCACAGGTGACTGAGGAATTCAGACAATTTTTATCTTGTGGGTCTACCATGACCTAGGCCCTCATCAGCCTTAGCATGTAGCTGGCAGAAGGGGAGAAGGTTCTGAAAAGCCTTGGCCTAGGTGTAGTGTACATCCTGTCCACTCACATGCCACTCCCCAGTGGAGCATAAATCTTGCAGCCGTCTCTGCCTCTTTTTCAAGGAGCAGAGCTGAGATCTAAACCCAGGGCTCTTGCCACGGTACCACATTGCCTCCTAGGACTCAAAGCATTATTACTAAACAGGGCTAAGCCAAGCTAGATGATGAAAAGAGGGAAATGAAGTGGCTAACTTATTTCCAATCTCCTGGAACCCTTTTTATACAATAGGAAAGCCTCCAAGGCCCATGAACAACCACCTTTCATCTTTCCACAGTCTGTTTATTGGGTCCACACCTCTCACACCAGACGCTCTGCTTCCTGAAAGATTGTCATCTTTTACATGTCATACTGGTTACTGCCACCCATCTCTTCTCTCTTTTTGTGTTATAAACTAAATTCGTCATCTCTTTTATGTCCCTCTGTTGGAGATGCTATACAATGTGAGTTTTCAACAAGAGCTGGCTGACTATTGACTAGGTACATGTTATTATTATATTTATTACATGTTGTTATTATTATTTGTATTTAGTTAAATGATTTTTTTTCTTATTTCAAAAACTCGTTCACTCATCAGATCCTCTCCCAGTAGCTTTGCATTAAGTTGTCAACATTTTTTTCTCTTTTTAATTATTTCTTTCCATCATTTGGTGGATTTAAATAATTTATATGTTTTTAACTTTGTACTTTAGCACTTAGATGCTATAGCAGTGTTTTACAAATTAATAAATAAATAATACATTAGAAGAATAAGAGTACCAACAAGAAGGCAAGTACCTGTTAACCCTCTTAAGAATTTTATGTCTATAGGCATAATCTGAATCTGTTGTACCTCCCATTTTCAAGTTAGGACTTAAGAAATATAGAAGATACGCAAATGATAAAAGATAAAAGATTTCCCTTTTTAACTGATATACTCCAGAGCAGACCTCAAGATAGAATTCTATTAGTGCCAAGAATTATAGCCTGTTCTTTGTTTTGAAATAAAGTATGTCAATCATGTTATAAGTGAAATTATATGGAATCTTTAAAGATCACAACTCTGCCTCTTGATAGCATTCTACCAAGTTGAGAAATCAGAGCACAAAATTTTGTTGTCCCATGGCAGATCCTAGGGAATGAGATTCTCCAGTGTGTCTGTTAGCTCTGCTTCTGGTGTGGGATATTTTCTTTGATAGCTCCCCTAAGTCTTTTCTACTATAGTTGGAGCTTCTCTTGGTTTGCTTTTAGGATAAAGGGTCAATTTCTATTGTAAGCAATCCTGTTTTTGTAGTGACAAATTTTTGAAAATTACTTCTTGCCCCTCTTTCTTCACATAATCTAATTGTATACCCTTTAGCCTTATTTCAAGACTTCATTTTCTAATCACTCATTTCTTTTCTCTGCTGTCCTCTAAATTGCTGAACTCTAAAACTGTTTTTAACATCAATTTTTAAATTATAAATGTAAAACATGCACATGGAAAATTAAACAGTATAGAAGAATATATGTGAAAAGCAAAATTTTGCCTTCCAATCTTCTGTTCCCTTCCTCAGAGATAACTACTTTTGACCCCTTTTTTTGTTTTTGTAACTTCTCAACAATAAGTAATATCTTATACCTGTTTAATTTATCAACTTTACTAACTCCCTGCTATTAAAAAAAGAGAAATTTAGCTCACTTAGCCACTCTTCATTTTGTTAGTTATATTTATTTTTAGTTCTATTTATCTTTTAAAATTAAACTATGTACTTAAACCTCTGTTTTTTATGGACATCATTTATGGCCAACATTTCTTAATTCTATGTTGATGAGGAAATTTCTACTCGTACATTTCCGTCTATTTTTCCTCTTTCTACTTCCCATCTTTTATTAGTTGTTTTATTATATTGACATTGTAAATATAGCAAAACTATACTATATAAATATGATTTTTATTTTTTATTCTATACCTATAGTTAAATCTTCCATGTGTTAACTATAAATTGACCCAGAAAGGGAAAAAACACTAAGAACTAATTGTAATATTATGATTATATAAACATTGTTCAAAACAGATCTAGTAATTGACTACCAGTAGATCTAGAGTAAAGAAAATATTGTTCTGTGTCACTAAATTTGTGCCCCTCTTGGAAGAATTGTACTATATTCGGATCAAATAAATTACATTTTCTTATAAGTGTTCAGAATTATTCTACATGTTGTTTAATAGCTTCGTATGAGACAGCTTTTTGTTTTAATGAAGTTCCTAATTGCTTCTTTTTCCTGTTAGAGAAGCTTATGAAGCACCTCTCTATAGCTATGGGCCTAAAATTTCTTTTTCCTTCCTGTCTAGACTGGTAACACTGTTTCTTTGATTTCTTTTTCTTTTTGTGTAATATAGCAAAAGGGTTTTATTAACCCATTTTCCTTTGCATGAGATATTGACTTTGGGCCTGGTTACCTTTCTAGATCTGGTCTTCTGAAAACCTGATAGAAATGAAATGTCAGCTATGTTATTAAGCCACATTGCTTGGGATAAAAATTACCCGATTGGCAAATTACATTTGGCCTGGGAGGACTGTAAATACTCATATTCCACAAAAAGAAAAAGAAATCAAAGAGACAATATTACTGACCTACATAGGAAAGAGAAATATCCAAAGCTATAGCTTTGGGGCTCCCTAAGTGTGATGACTTTTGTAACTGGGCTTATTCCTTGTGGTTCTGGGATCTATGCTTCTGGAGTTGTTGTAAGAGATGTTTACTTCTCTTTGGAATGTGAGGCCTCTAAGCCAGAGTTCGTCCACACCTGCCGATTGTTGGATCTTATACACTTATTTGAGCTCTCACCTGTAGGCCAAAAAGATGAGCTCATGGACAGTTGTGCAGACTGCTGCT